GCTTCAGTCTGTGTCTGCGTTCTTTCGCACCTGCCTGTAATCTGAGAAGGTCCCGCCTCTCTGGCTGGCTCCCGCCCGGAAAATCTTCGGTAATAGCCTATCAGATAGCACTGTGGGCGGGACATTGCTCGTGTACACAGAGTGGTGACTGCAGCCAGAGAAACGTCCGCATCAGAGCCAAAGTTTTATCGGCAATTTGATTAAAAAAAAGGCCGATACCGATAATCGGTCAAATGCGGAATATCGACCCCTAGTTTTAAATAAAAAGCACATATGGACAGAAGGTGTAAACCTATTAAATGTATAAGTAAACACATTTAGTCAAATAAAGTGACAGACTAGGCCTGTGCAGTTGGTATCAGCTTTGCCCAGCATGGGCTCCTTCATCAGGCCTGGTCCTCCTCGCAGAGGAAAGACCCTCAGTCCTCTCCAAACCAACAGACAGGACGTCTATCACACGGAGGTTTCTCCCTGAAGTCTCTGCAGCTCTCTGGACACCATGATGTCTCAATCCGCCCACACTGAATATGAGAGGGGGAAAATGAAAATAATAAATGCTTTAGACAATAAGAAACATAAAGTTGACTGTTGAGTTGCTCCGTTTTTTTAGATTGTCAATACTATTACTGTATAACTAATATATCAGGTTAAGAGGCACATTCAAATAAAGATTGGTCTTTAAATACATGTTGTCTTTTGAATTGTTTGTCTAAAGTCAAGGATCTATAACTGGTACTTAGTTTTAATGATACAGTCTGGTTATTATGCTGTTTGGAGGAGGCCTCACAGGTAAGAGCGCTAACTAGCTACCATCACATGTACCTTAGCTTGACTTAAATGTATTAAACGTATAGTTAAGTGATATCAAAATACAAATAACTAATGCCATGCAAACATATTAATATTTGCTTGATTCCAGTGTTGAATTTAGCACAATTGCATACAAACATTAAGGGGTTTTAAGATTCTGAAGTATTATGCTAAAAACTCAATAACTTAGATTATTATTTATAGTTTTGCTGAATAGTTTCATGTCCGCTTACCTTAGAAACGTAAAATGTGACGGCAGCGTGCAGATGGGGAGCATGTTAGCTTAGCTTGGTAGCTTCAGCTAGCTCTGGAACTTCCAGCTCGGTGGCAGCAGGTCCCGCCTCGGCTCCGCCTCTTTGCCCTTATTTGGAGCGGGCTGGAACAGGCGGGAGTTGAACTCTGACGTCACTGTCGAGCCGTTAGTGGCCGACTCCGCCTACTAAGGGCTTCTCGGCAACTCTGCAGAATCCCATTTATATATACAGTCTATGCTTGAGCCCCACCACTGTATGGGTTAGCCCTACCATAGATTACCGAACAAAAATACTCTGGAGCCGCCACTGATTATGTTTATTGTTGTTATTTGTAGGGCTTTGTCCTAATATATATTTTTGTTTTAAACTATGTTGAAAGATTAGTTTAATAGCATTTTTTTTATTTTGCTATGAAATTCTGAATGAAATTTGAATGAAAGGCTGCGCGCGAGATTGTTTTTTCGCTGGGTTGAGTCGTGTGGGTTTTTGAGTGAGATGCGGCACAGCAGCCTGTCAGTTTACTCTTGCTAGGTTAGTTTGGCTATTATCATTTATATGTATCTGCAACAATGGATATCAGGAAGTGGTTCATGAAAGGAATATGGCAACTCAGCGCCAGATGCAGGCACATTAGAAGACATCAGTTACGTTACCAACGAGCTAGCAAGCCAGCCAGGGACAAGGGAGGCTGGCAATCAATTATATTTTGAAGAGAAATTGACTCTCAAGCCGGTGTTGTGCCGTAGATTGAAGCCTTGCCGTAGATTGAAGCCCTGTTCGCGGGGACGCGTAAACGTGACGTCATCGCCTGTATTGAGCGTTCGTCTAGTTTAATAAGCTTTTCTCTCTCTTTTGAATGATATATCAGATTAAACAGCAAACGGCTGAATAAATAATGTGCATACAATTGCGAGGAGGCTCGTTTTAAGGACACTTTTCAGATAGTCACAATCTTCGTATTGGAACAAACTTCCATTTTTGAGTGCAGTCCCACTCTGTTATATTCCTCCTTCCTACAGAACAGACAATGACAGGATAAGATGTCATTTGTCAGTATAGTCCCATTTCTTAAAACCTTCTCTGTTGTTTAAGTGTCTGATAACCACGAATAGTAAGCAATTATATGACAGTAATGATATAACATATTTCATTTCATTTCATTTCAAACCTTTATTTAACCAGATTGGTCCCATTGAGATCATAGATCTCTTTTTCAAGGGAGACCTGCAGCATATAGGTTCCACATGAAACAATAAAGGACATCATACATTATATTTACAGGATACATTTACATAGTTATAGACATTTACAAGTGCCCATAGTATCAACGAGCATTTCATTTAGCCTAGCTTTAAAAACATGCAGAGGAATGAGATTGCTCAGTTTCAATTCTTGCTGAAGATTGTTCCAAGCAAGTGGAGCTGCGCACATAAAAGCTGTCTTACCTAAGACAGTCCTTGCTCTTGGCACATCTAACAATACTACATCATGCGATCTCAGACAATAGCTGCTTGCAACTCTCTGTGTTATCAGAGAGCAGATATAATACGGGAGTTTACCCAACAAAGCTTTATAAATAAACGTGTACCAATGACTGAGCCTCTTTACAGTAAGTGATGGCAGACAGGGTACAGTGATGAGTAAGTGCTTTACAATTTGTGACAAATCTCAGTGCGCTGTGATAGGCGGCATCTAACTTGTTCAGGCAATAGGCAGGTGCATTCATATACAACAAATCACCATAGTCCAGCACAGGTCAAAAGGTCACAGAGCCTTTTCCTGGCTTCAAAAGAGAAACAGGACTTGTTTCTGAAAAAGAAACCTAGCCTAACCCTCAGCTTTTTAAGCAGGTTATTGACATGAAGTTTAAAAGTAAGACAATCATCAAGCCAGATACCTAGGTATTTATAACAGGTAACCACTTCAAGTACTTGTCCTTGCATAGTAACAATATCCAAAACAGGCTCTGGTGTCTTTTTAGCTTTTGAAAATAGCATTACCTTGGTTTTATCAACATTTAAAATAAGCTTAAGTTCAGCAAGCTGAGTCTGAATAATGTTAAAAACAGCCTGTAATTTAACACCAGCCCCCTGAATGGAGGGACCTGCACAGTACATCACGGTATCATCAGCATAAAAATGTAAAGTAGCTTCATCCACATTTTCACCTAAACTGTTGATATATATGGAGAATAAAAGTGGGGGCATTTTACTCTGGGCCCTGCAGGTGAAAAACTAAAGAGGGGCTTCAAAATCCGGCAGATCAGGTGTTGGTGCTGCCGGATTTGGAACCCCTCCTATATCTTTCTCCAGGATAGTAACAACTTCACCAAAATCACACTGGTGCTTGCCAATGGAAGCCCCTCATTATTTGTGTACCTGCTGGGCCCAGAGTGAAATGCGTTGGTGAGCATAAACTAGAGGGGAACAGGCAACACCAGTGTGATTTTGGTGACATTGTGACTATCCTGGCTAAAATTACAGGGGGCGCTTCAAAATCCGGCAGCTCTAGCAACTGCACTGCCGGATTTTGAAGCCCCTCTTTAGTTTTTCCCCTGCAGGGCCCAGAGTGAAATGCTTTTGTGAACACAAACTAGAGGGGAACAGCAAGCACCAGTGTGATTTTGGTGAGTCTGTGACTATCCTGGAGAAAGATATAGGTGGGGTTCCAAATCCGGCAGCACCAACACCTGATCTGCCGATTTTGAAGCCCCTCTTTAGTTTTGTACCTGCAGGACCCAGAGTGAAATGCTTTGGTGAGCACAAACTAGAGGGGGACAGCAAGCACCAGTGTGATTTTGGTGAAGTTGTGACTATCCTGGACAAAGATATGGGGGGGGGTTCCAAATCCGGCAGGAGAAATACCTGCTCTGAACATGTTATGTAGAGAACAGTGCAGATCTTCCCTATTGACACCAGGATTAACCTAGTCTAAAATAAGGAACATTAATAGTGTGATAGAAAATGAAATGTAATGTAATAGAGGCACAGATATAAGATCAATAATACACTTTATTTTATGGCACCTTTCAAAGCATTCAATGTCACTTTAAAATACAATTTTTTTTAAATAGTGGCATTACAATACAAACATGTGTTGAGTAGGAATATATAAAAATGATATTCAAAGGAGCAATTCAAGTGAGTGAAGCCAGTTTGAACACATTGTCTTTTAGGCTTGATTGAAAATAACACAGTGATCATATATATATATATGATCATATATAGTGATCATATATGTGATATTATTACTGTTATATCATTGCTTACTATTCGTGGTTATCAGACACTTAAACAACATAGAAGGTTTTAAGAAATAGGACTATACTGACAAATCACAAATTATCCTGCCATTGTCTGTTCTGTAGGAAGGAGGAATATACACTCAAAAACGTAAGTTTATTCCAATACGAAGATTGTGACAGATCTGAAAAACGAGCCTCCTCGCAATTGTATGCACATTATGTATTCAGCCGTTTGCTGTTTAATCTGATATATCATTCAAAAGAGAGAAAAAAGCTTAGAAAACGGCGAACGCTCAATACAGGCGATGACATCACCTTTGCGCGTCCCCGCGAACTGGGCTTCAATCCACCGCAAGGCTTCAACCTACGGCATAACACCGGCTCTCTCACAAACTCCTGCTCTGTGCGCAAGCAGACCGCTGCACATGCTCTCTGCCTCGCTCAATCTCTCTCTCTCCCTTTCTCTTAATCGCTCAACCCACCTTTCCACCCAAATCTCGAGATCTCCCGGGAAATGTAAATTTCGGGGGGTGGGCCCGCCCTGGTAAATCAAATGCCCGCCCAGAGACGTATGTCTGCCGCCGGGTCTGATATAATGTACGGACCGGTATATACACACATACGAGTACACAGTCGTATACGCACACAACCACAAAAGTCTATGGTCAAAGATAGGTGTGTAATCCACTCACCTCTTCTTCTTCTTCTTCTTCTTCTTCTTCTTCTTCTTCTTCTTCTTCTTCTTCTTCTTCTTCTTCTTCTTCTTCTTCTTCTTCTTCTTCTTCTTCTTCTTCTTCTTCTTCTTCTCTCGGTTTTTGGCGGATTGCAAAGAACTTAAAAGGTGCATACCGCCACCTATTGTATATGAGTATGAATCCTCATATCATTCCAACTCTTTAACCTATGATCTAATACAAAAAACATGAAATAAATCAAACAAAAATAAAAATCTATGATCTTTCCTGACCTAATTATTTTTCCCACCCCAGTTTCACTCAAAAAGATAAACAGTGCCTTTCTGGTAGCTCTTACTCCCTCTCCTTTTGTTCCCAAAACACCAACCACACTCCATTCCCACTCTGCGTCTAAAACTTTAGCCTCTTTCCGCTTTATAGATGTCACAATGTAACAAGATATGCATCTATTGTGGACCGCCCTTTACGAAATCCGCTCTGAAAACTACTCAGTAGCCCTTTCTGTTCCAGTACATGTGAGAGCCTACGGACAATGATCTTTTTCCATCCAATAACATTGTGATGTAAAAGCTATTGGTCTGCAGTTACTAGGGTTAGCTGTATCTTTCCCTGGCTTATTGAATGGTAGCACGACTGCTGTTTTCCACACACTTGGCATATCTCCTTCTCTCCAGATGTTATTGAAAGACTCAGCACTGTCAAAGAATAATTATTCCTTACTCAGATATTTTTCTGTGTGGGGACGTTTACGACCCTAAGTCTGTTATCTCCCGTAAGGAATGTGCTAATGCAGTCCAGATGTGGGGGATATCTCCAGTGTTCCCAGTGTTTACGCACCATCCCCCAATATGTGGATTAACTCTCTGTAAACTAAAGGTCTATTCGAGAGAGAGGCTGGTCAGATTTGACATGGCAACCCACCAGGGCAGTCAGAATCTCTGACTGTGTGACTTGTGATGTGAATTTCTCCGGTCGATACTTGTAAATAAACTTCAGTGTTTGACATCAAAGCTCCAACTCTCCTCGTGTCTCTCTGAGTCCTGACTCTCCATTGCTGCAGAAGTTTCCCTTACAAGCACCATTGTCATAGTTTCCATAGGTAACTGTCTAAACATAGCATAACATAGCTGGTCTTGTCCTGGGGCTGTATATCCTGTACATTGTAAGGCTATTTTGAGTTCTGACATTGTAAATTCCACATCAAGAGCTTACCTATTATCCTGTCTCTTCTCCTTCACGTTTTCATTCTCTGCTAGTAACTGCTGTTTTTGCTGCCTATGAATATCACTGAGATGTTCCCCACTATGTACTGCTGCAAGTGTCCTTCCTAACATATCTGCCTTCTCTTTATCTGTCACTGCCAGCCTCTCCCCATCAACCAAAGCTGGAATTTTATTGGATTTCCTTTTCCCACTCATCCGCTTAAACATGGACCAGATATCACCTAATTGTACTCTTCTGCCAATGGTAGAACAACATTCTTTCCATGTTCTCTTGTTTGAATATGTTATTGTCCTTCGAGCAGCTGCCCTTTTCCTTTGATACTCTATAACATTATTTTGTGTCATGTTTTTCTTTAATTCTCTAAATGCATTATTTCGCTCTTTAATAGCCCTGCTGCATTCCTCATTCCACCATGGCACCACTTTCTTCCTACTGTTGACAGTTCTGCTGTGTAAGTGGCCGTGTCAGACCTGACCTTTACCTCACCTACCTCTATTAAGCTTACCATTGATAAAAATATGCTAAATTGGCTGTGAATGGAAAGGATGTATGTTTCCTTCTTGTTGTTTCAGGCATATGAAACCAGGCATGTGAAACTAGATAGAACATTCTGAACTTTTGACCTATACACACACATTCTAGATGGTGCAATAAAAGCGTAAAAGTTCCAGCTACCATGCAGAGAAGGCGCTTGTGGTTTTTGACACCTTGAGAGCGGTGACAGCGGGTATGAAGACAATGAGGCACAGGATGCAGGCGACCTACGCACAGATTCAAATCAACTTCCTGGGCCAGCGAATCGTAGAGACAAGCTGCCCATATTTGTCTCTGTTAATAAATGAAATCTCTGTTCATGGATTAAAGTATAAAGTTTGCATATATGATATCGAAATGTTTAAAGAAAATTATTTGATTCTAAAGTCATGACATTGACAATGTGTTCTGCTTTCATGAAACATTTTCATATTCCCTCTCTTTAAAATTACATATCATGACTATAAGTTTGTATTTGTTTAATTTTTAAACCTTACATTTTTTAATGTTCAATAATTAAAAGTTGAACAGTTTTGACCTCCTTCTGACTGAAAGAGGGAAAGGGGGAGACCACCTGATGAAGAGAGAGAAGAGGAAGAAGACTATAAAGAAGAATGGAGAAGAAGAAACGGGGCTTCTTGGAGGAAGTTTTCTGAGGCCCAAGCCCTGGGCCTGGGCCTGGGCCTGGGCCTGGGCCTGGGCCTGGGCCTGGGCCTGGGCCTGGGCCTGGGCCTGGGCCTGGGCCTGGGCCTGGGCCTGGGCCTGGGCCTGGGCCTGGGCCTGGGCCTGGGCCTGGGCCTGGGCCTGGGCCTGGGCTCTTTTAGACCGCTTTAGGATTTGACTTGTGAACCTGTTGCTATTGTATTTTGACTTGGTGTCTTTATTATTTTTTAAGGATTATTTTTAATCCTCAATTTTTGTTAAAACCTTAATAAATCCGGTTTGTATATATTTTTATTTTAACTTTTATTCTTAGAAGCTTCCTGCTGTTAAACATGGCCCCCCCTTAACTTCCATTTTAAATAGCATAGTAGATTTACTTGTTAAAGTATTTTTTGTAAATGTGTTTGATATTGATAATACATGTCATACTGTTGGGAGAGAATCCTTGTGTTAAGCCTTTTTGTTGACTGCCAACTGTATCGTATTTCTTTAAATTGAATCTGTGGAGTTTTTGCTGTTTGATACATTTGAGTTAAAGGGCAAATTTGATCAGTAGAACAGCTACACTTTAGGCCGTGTGCGCGGCCGCGGTTACACACCCATCCACATACTTTTACGCACTGATAGGCAGCAATGATCTGCCAAATACACCCACTGTATAACAACTTTTAAAATCAACCTGACATAAATTCATCATCAAGATGAACCTACGTTGAACACACAGGCTATAAACACAAAGTCTGCCCAACATTCGTAACGAGTCACACAACAGTTTTACGAAAAACCGCACTACGTTTTCTGACAACTTGCCAGACAATCATAGCCTGCCAATGTCCAATGTTAATGCATAGACATGATTAACTTATAAAAAGGCTATATAGACATTGGCAAACATTTTTGATAACGTATATTTACAGCTGGCATAGCCTATATGCCTTTTTTATTTAGGGGATAGCTAACGGTGTTGTTGAATGAGTTGTGTGAGTCTTTACGCACTTTGGGTATACTTTAATTAAGACGTAGGCCTATAGTTGCATGCATGTGTACCTATTCATTTAACGTAGGATGTATTATGATGAAGGAATTGACTCAAAGTTATGTTATGTATAGTTTAGATGTGCTTAATTGTCAGTGTACACTTGATAGCTGCATGCATAATGAATGCTTTAGAATATGTGTTTGCGCTAAAAATGCCTCACACAATTAGACCTGTGATTTTGAAGAATGTACAGTGATGTAACACATAACGCCAATTATCTGTTAATACGGCTCTATTATAGCGATCAATTTGTGTTTGATGTCTAAATCTTTTATTTATCAGATCGCGTACAGCATGCCGTGAGGTTCAAATCTAATAATCTCTTGCCAACGCGCAACAAAAAGCCCTGCCCATTGTTCTGAAATAACAGCGCTATGTCGGAGCTTGAATGATTTGTGTGCAGTGGGCAACGAGAGTATCAGATAACTTTGTTGTTTGCTATTATTCCATATCCATCCATCCATCCATCTTCTTCCGCTTATCCGTGGTCGGGTCGCGGGGGTAGCAGTTCCAGCAGAGAGCCCCAAACTTTCTTTTCCCTGGCGACATCAACCAGCTCTGACTGGGGGATCCCAAGGCGCTCCCAGGCCAGCGAAGAGATATAATCCCTCCACCTGGTCCTAGGTCTACCCCTTGGTCTCTTCCAGTGCTTGAATTGGAATGAAAAAGGTGCCAGTACTCTAAAATCAGCAACTTTTTCAAGTCAATTTTATATATACAGCCCACAAACAAGAATTTGGCTACTATAATGCTGGTGGGTTTGTCTCTTTACTACTGTATATTTTAGAAAGGTTCACTGTACAACATTTTTTATGATAGGCAGCGGATATGGCTAAAGCTCAGTAAGGTCAATATTAACTGAAAATATAGCAATCAAAGTCTAGATCTTCTGCTGAAGACACATGAAGCAGAGACCTTTCAGGTGAGAGCCCCTCTGGTGGTGTTCAACATTAATGACAAGGAAACAAAGCTCTGGTCAGAAGCATTTTTTATAAAAAGCTTTAACAAAATTAAGTATTTCTGTACATTTTGAATGCAATCTAACTTTCCAACTCAGAAAACGAAAAAGTGCCAAAAGTCTTCTCACATGGCTGAGCTGCTTTGCAATATACTTCACCACTGAAGAATACAAATATGTATAAAGTAAACTATGATGCAATCTAACTTTCCAACTCAGAAAAATGATAAAGAGCATGAACAAAGAACATGTAAAAACAAATGCAAAATTTGCACAATCTAAAATGAGAAACTGTAACTGCAAGTAACAAAGTCTGAGCCATGGTAAAGAGTTACATTGAACACCAAGCTGATCAGATAATTCCCTGGTTGGTCTGAAGTCCTTCTATCTCCAGGATCTGTACAAATCGGCACATTATGCCAAAAGTCTTCTCACTGGGTGAGCTGCTTTGCAATATACTTCACATTGTTAGAAAAGGCTCCAGAAGGCCTTGGGGACATCAGTATCAGGGGCTGGAGCTGGACAGGCTCTTTCATCAGCACTTCTCCTTCCCTTTGCCAGCCAGGACCTCACATACTGTTCCGGATTGAACTGTCCTAGTGATGGTCCATTACATTTAATGAAAACCAGGCTGGACAGTCGGCTGACAGAGAGAGCATTCCTTTTTGCAGTAAGGATATCGTTCATGCAGCTGAATGCCCGCTCACACTCACTAGTGGAGACAGCGATGGTTCGGACTGCTTTCAGTAGAGGCTCCATGGCAGCAGGTGTACGGGATGCCCTGGTTTCCTTGTATTCGCGAAAGCCCTGAACAGTCTCTCTTCTGTCCACTTTCAGCACTTCGCACAAACGTAGCACCTCTACGTCCCCATACTGTACGTCTAACTCCTCTTCAGGCCAACTTCCAGGATGGATAACTTTCATGTCCTGGATTAGCTGATTGTCCCGGGCCTCCCGGCCATGTAATGGGATTTCTCTTGTGCTGACATGAGAGGAGGTTGTGGAAGTCATTCTGTG